TGGTGTCCTCAACATAAAAAGGACATGGAACTGTTGGAACAAGTCCAGAGAAGGGCCATGAGGATGATCAGGGGACTGGAGCACCTCCTGTATGAAGACAGGCTGAGAAAGTTGGAGCTGTTCAGCCTGAAGAAGAGAAGGCTGCGTGGAGACCTCATAGCAGCCTTCCAGTGTCTGAAGGGGGCCTCTAAGGATGCTGGGGAGAGACACTTCACTAGAGACTGTAGTGATAGGACAAGGGGTAACAGGTTAAAACTTAAACAGGGGAAATTTAGATTGGATATAAGGAGGAAATTCTTTATTGTAAGGGTGGTGAGGCACTGGAATGGGTTGCCCAGGGAAGTTGTGAATGCTCCATCCCTGGCAGTGTTCAAGGCCAGGTTGGACAGAGCCTTGGGTGACATGGTTTAGTGTGAGGTGTCCCTGCCCACGGCAGGGGTGGTGGAACTTGATGATCTTAAGGTCCTTTCCAACCCTAACTATTCCATGATTCTATGCTAGTGATTGCTACACTGGAACACATACCGTTCCATCATTACATAGATAAGATGGCATTAATAGATACCTTGATGCAAAGGTGAAAACAACTGTAACTGTTAATGGATAGTGTTGCCTTTTTTTTTTTTTTTTTTTTTTAGTTTTGAAGTCTATTCCTCTGCAAAATAGAATAAAGTTTACGCAGTCTGGAATAAGTATCTCATTGACTATTCTGACTAAGCAATCTCATCAACTACCAATCCACATAAGTTTTCCTTTCTAAATTGGGATTTCTAACTTAATTCAACAGCAGTTGACTCTGGTATCTATCATCCTTAAAAATTAGCTCAGGAAAAAGCCCTTTTCTTTATTTCCTCCTCATTTCCTTTGAATTGTTAAGAGCTCTACTGATTTTCCAGTTTTCTGGTATCATAACCTTGAATTCAATTAATTATTTTCTATTTCTTTTAATGTTTCTGTTCTTCACTAAATCCTGCTTCTCCCAAGCCCATGCTAAAGACAACAAATCGAGCAAAGAGGAGAGGAGAGGAGAGACTAGAAGGCAAACTGAATGAGCGAGGATTCAGTTCTAGAAACAGGAATGCAGCATAATTTGGGATATCCTCAGGTGTCCTGTCTGATCTGCAGGTCCTCTGTCCATTGTCAAAGCGACCTCAGTTATCACTGTTGTCAGGTCAATACTACTGTTACAAATAAAATTCCAATTCAATGACCTCAAAGTTCAGGCTATTGAAACAACTTTAGTTCGGTTTTACTCCACAGAGATGGCATTGAATTTTTCTGTTTCTTGGGACTTTGGATCTTCTCTTCTGCACTACAGTTTCTCCTGAAGTTGAAAGATCTTGGAGGGGGTGCTCAAACTGTTTGTGACAGAATTTATTATCAGAAAAACAACTTCCAAATTGACCAAACTGCAGCTAATGAATTCTAGAAAAGGACAGATAAAGTATGATGGTGAATGTCTACTAATATGAGTCAAAACACATAATTTCTTTTTTGGAAGAAGGTAAACATCTCAGGCTATAACTAGATCAAATTTAGAGTCTGTACACAGATGTTTTCTTCATGTTGTACTTTAAAGTGTTTTCAAAGTTCAGGAAACTGGAAGATCCTGAGGAATTCAGTTAGGAAACACTGCTCAAATTATAACATGGTAAGAAAAAGATAAAAAAAGTATAATCCTAGAAAGTTTTTCAAAATATAGAAGGCATCGCTTCAACATTAGATACATTTACTCCCACATAGGAAACAGCCTATTTTAAAATTTCCTTACATCCCTGATATCAGATTTTCTTTTCCTGCAGATAGATGCAGACGCCTGCCTCTAAATCTGATGCCAGAACACACTCACCAAAGCTAAACCTGCAGGCACACTAGCAGAAGAAAACTGAAACCTTTGCAATTTACTGTAATTTAGTGGGAGGTTTGACAACTGTAAATTGACTAGTCTGAATTGTTTTGGTCTATTGATCCAGACCAGTGAGTGTCCAAGGAGTGACGAAAAGATTGAAGGCAAGCAAACCAATTTTCTTCTCACAGATGAGTATCCACTGGCCCGTATGTTACTCATGCAAGAGATAAAGCACTACTAGAATCAGGAAAGAATCTTCAAACACCATGCAACTGAAATTCATTTAGGAGAACAAAAGTAAGAAAACTATTAAATAGATTACCTCTGTATTTTTCTTTCCTAATTTAGGTCAAAGGAAGTTCAAAGGAATGAAATGCCCATCAACAACAAAGAGCATGTCAGCCCTGTACAGACAGGAGAAACTGCAAATGTGAAGCGGGTGTACTACAAATCTCATTCTGTCACATACTCAGCTCAAGGTTTTAATGCAGGTTATCACAGTTTGATGCCACTTGAAAGGCTCTCCATACATTCATAGGATATTACATGGTGGAACTGAGTCACTGGAAGATTCAGCAGTTACGAGACTCACAAATACGTGATTCCCTTTTTCCCAGTCAGCAAACTCAGGATGGATTGTAAAGACCATTCCATGCCCTAAACATAATTTTGCATTATAAAGGGACAAAAATGAAAAATAAAAGAGTCCAGATTTTTATTTCTGTGAATGATCTTTTAACAAGCTCAGAAAGAACTATAAGAGTCTGCAGAGATTAGCTGAAAGGCCATTAGCAGTACCTCAGTGAAACTGTAACACAGGTTAAGGAGAGGTGGGGATAGTGGGAGTAATACCTCAATAAAATAAGACCACAGGGCAAAAAATGAAAGGCAACACACACTCAGGTAAATGACTCTTAGGTCAAAAGACTGAACTTCGGAGGGAAGATTTGAAATTTTATGTAAAGATTCCCAGAGGAAGCTGAATAATCTGAGGAAAGGCTAGACAGCTTTTAAAACAGAAGTCCTATACTATGCAAACTCATTTTCCAAATATTCCTGTATGTTGTGGTTATATTTGTGAAACTTAAATTTATGTTTAAGTATCCTATGATTTTTTGCTATTAATAATACTACTCAGCACATTCTGAAATTAAATGTCTGGATTGTTTGTGAATGTCCTTGTAAAGCAAACTGCTGTAGAAAGTAAGAAACTGTATTTTCTCACTAGCAGGGGAACAATCATGATGCTTCATTCTTTCTTACAATCCCCCATTACAAAAGGATGATGATATTTGCTAGTAACTATAACTGATTGTATTGATCACACTTATAAAGAGCACAATGCCATATGAATACACCCATTCCAGAAGAGAAAACAAGGCTGTGATCTCCCGTGATTTGTGGTGCCCCTATTGAAAGCAGAATACACTATACACTTTTTATTCTACTTTGTAAGTCTACATAAGAAAAATTGCTTGTTTGGCAGATGTAGAAAACCACATAATATTTCAGCTCTTTTTCTGTTTTTAGGTCGCTAAGTTGTGATTCAATCCATCTGCTTGAAGTGCTGTTTATCTACCTGAATGTCAGTGAAGACAAAGTGAGTAACTCCTCTATGGGCAGGAACTATCATCAGAGGGACTCTGGCCTCAGGAAGGAGAGGGAAGAGCAGGAACAGGCTGAGCTGCCTCCCTGGTGACAAAGTCCAGCTCAGAAGCAAGATTCAGATCCAGGGAACCAAGGGAAATTTTAAAAAAATTCATTGGTTCCTTGTTTAATCAGTAAAAGCAGGTATCTGGGCTAAGTATCTAAACAGAAAGATACATATACATATTTTTTTTTTACCCTAAATCTTAACCTTAAAGAGGAAAGCCAAGTTAACTAAATTTTAAATAATGACTTTTGAAATTGGTTAACAAAGTAGATAATGTCACTTCAAAGAAGGTTTAATAAGCTTGTCAAAAGATGACAGATTTGGAAATCAATTTGAAGGTAAGATAGCACCACTTCAAGATCCTTACCAGCCTTGACAGGAAAGCCAAACTCCAAAAACCACTTTACAAGATACTTCAAAGTGGAATGGTAGAGGCAGAGAAAATCAGAATAATAGGTATGGATGCTTTACTGTGAATCTTTAGGAGCACCAAATACTCAAAGGCTTTGAAGAGGTGTCTGCAAACTAGTTCTTAGACTGAAATTATAACAGCAGAATATACGATATTAACATATAATTTGTCAGATGTGTTCTGACAAATAAAAAATATGAGATTTTTTTTGGGGGGTGGGGTATTATCCTATTGACATTAGTAAGTAGTCTCCAAGACCAAATAACAAATATATAAAGTATTGAAGGTCATAATTTTCTTAGACATAGTTTTCTTGAATTTTTTAATTTTCAAGCTACTCAGAAAAAACAGTAATTTGATATATATTGTAAATATCAGTCAGTGCACTCTTTTGAAAAGCATTTTTTTTAATTACACCAAAGAAAACAATTTCCTTGAACTTTGTAATACTCAGAAGGACAGCTGTAAGTCAGTGTTTGCATTTATTACAAATGAAAGTTACTAGAAGAATGACTTTGTTAAGAAATTGGAAGACACCATCAGCAAGGACATAGGAGCAACAGGACAAAGATATTTCTTCTGAAAGAACAGTGGGTATGACACGGAGAATTTACAGGGAAGCTTTTCTGCCCGCTGTCCCTTCTTTAAAAAGAAAACAAACAAAACTACAATAAAAACCAACCAAAAAAAAAAAAATAGCCCAAACAAAAAAATCAACAAAAAACATAAAACACCCCAAAAACCCAAACAGCAAACAAAACCTACAAATAAAAAAACCCACCACAATCAAAACCCACATTTCTACATTTCTTTTTGCAGTAGCTTTTGAAGGCTACTGGACTGTCTAAAAGGATATCGTCAATGGACATGTCATTAGATATTGTGCCAGACCCATTCAAGAAAATTAGAGAGCAATGTACATCTATGAACTTCCACCTCTGAGTGGACAAAATATCAGCCAGCAGGCTAAGTGGAATGTAGGCACAACTGGAACGATTTGTCTGGGAAAAAGGTTTAGATTAATTATACCTAATGCACCAAAAAAAAAAAAATAAAATAAGGGAATGAAAATAGCCAATACTCACATCCGAGTTAAAGCGAAGCTGGCAAACATTACAGGAAATTACTTGTTTCTTCTTGGGGGGAATGGACACACCAAATGTATGGTTTATGACTGCTTTTTGCACAGGATCCATCTGGAGAACAAACAATAATCAGTTTACAATTCTTCAGGACAATACACAGTACAGAAGAAAAATAAAAAAAATAACACTTTCTGCTGGAAGCTTTTTCTCCTGCTTTGTTTTTGTTTTTGAGATAAACAGGAGGAAATAAAATTTCAGATTTCAGCCCTCATAATAATTAGATTTAACACAGGTTAAGGAATTAGTAGCATGCCAGAGCTTATGAAGAAAAGGCAACTCTATTTTTACTGCCATCCCCAGGCTACTTAACAGTTCATCCCCCAACCCTGCACATCCTCTGTGCTGCAGGGCCCCACTATTGCATCTGAATTGCAAAGAGCCCCCTGGAAGGAAAATATTCTCTCCTTTGTGAGAAGAGGTCCTCTGCAGGCTTCATCAGAAACACCATTTGCTGGGAAAAAAGGTTGCAATCCCCAAACATTTCCTTGTGGAACTGAGTGACATAGCCCATAGGAAGGCTGAAGTTTGAAGGCCCATGCATGGAGTGTTTACAGCAGGAAAGGATACTGAAGTTACCACGCTTCAGAAAACATTTCAACACTGTGAAAAATGTGAGATAAGTGAAGCACTGAACAGGTGAATCCTAAATTTGATGGAACATTTTCAGGAACTGGGAACTGATTACATATTTGCTAAATGCCAGGACTCTTGTCGGTCACCAGTTTAGAATATCCTCAAGATCACAGAGAGCTCTGCTGTTAACACTGCAGGGCTGGAGAATGGCACTGGATGTTATAGAAATAGAGGTCATAACTGCTACTGTGTCGAGGCCTCAATTAGAGCATAATATGTTGATTTTCCTGATGTGGCATGGGTACTGATTAAAATTAATTTCCTGACTCAAAAAGATTCAAACATATTTTTCTAATTAAAATAAAATAGAATATCTGGCCTAATCTCACAGTGGATCCTGCTCTGAGGAGGAGGTTAGACGAGATGACCTCAGAGAAACCTTTTAACCCAAATTATCCTATAAGTATCTGTGCACATGTGCTCCGCCATCCTTATTTGGATTCTGACGGGGACAGGGCAAAAAATGGCAGTCTACGAAGAAAGATAAGTGCTCATTTCCCAACATTGTTCTTTAACCAACTCAGGAGAAAATAGTTCAATCTTTTATAAAGTTATATTTTTCTGAAGCTTGGTTTGGTGATGGGTTTTTTTTATCCTTTACAGTACTGTCTGTAGAAACCAAAACTCACTGTTTAATCTTGGTGGTACACACCACATATTTGATATTAAGCCGACTTACTAATGAAAGAGAGAAAAGCTGGAGTTATTGATTCTTTAGTTAAAGAATTGTAACAGTAATTTAGTTTAGCTGCAACCAGACTTTCTAAACCTGAGGATAAAGACTGTCATTTTCCCTTGGTACACATTCAAGCTTTCAGAAAATCAAAGAGGATTTTCTTTGCATATGTGCACATGCACAAATGCACAAATTCAAGAAAACACATACCACTTCATATTTGCCTAAGAACACATTCTCCAATAATCTACTATCTAACATTAAACACCTACTTAACAATTTTATTGTACTACAGCTACAGATTTCTTGCTACGTTCTTTTTAAACCAAATACATGGTTTTGTAAATGTCATTGCTAATAAATTTTCCAGACAGATGACATTATTTTTACCAGCTTTTGCCATAAAATATTGTATTTCATTGCCATAGGGGTACCATATTAAAACAATTACAAAAGTAAAACCACCTTGTCTAGAATGAACTACTGAATTATTAAATGATACAGTGCTGTTACAATGAATGTGATAAAAGCCTAAAAAACCAAATATCCTTATTTCCAGTTTTCTCTATTTCTAGAACATATAGTCCGAAATTTAAAAGCTTGAAACACAACAAAAAAAAATTCCATTTCTTGCCTGTACCATTTATTGCATCACCCTGAATAATATACTGCAATTATACACGCAGATTAAAGTTTCTCAAGCATCCTTTTTATAATAGATATGCCAGTCAATATATATTATTAAATTTATAATCTATATGAAAATATTGCTGTATCTTTAGAGAATAGTTTGGCTTTGCTTGGTTTGTTTTTTTTCTTAAATAGAAGGTATGTTCCATTTTACAATTTAATTGCTAATTGTTAAATCAGATAATCTAGAACAAAAGAGTAATGCTGAAAAGTACCTCAACCATTTGAAGTATCTGAAATTGGTGAAAAGAAATAGCAAAAATACCCACTAGGGTCTGCAGTCCAGTTTGAAAAAAGGGGGAAAAAGAAGCAGTGATCAATGATTCCTCTGTGCATTCCAGATAACAATCCACAGCACTTGTGTTAGGCAATGCAGTTCAAAACCATACAATGCAGACTATATATAAAGTCCCAGTTTCAAACAGATAGCAGCACAAGGGCAAAATCTACGCAAATAATACAGCTCATGCTGCCCCCAGAAAGTACCACTCAGGATCCCCAGGGGAACGGTTAATGATCCTTCCCAAACTGGAGCCCCACATGTAGTCTGGCCATGATTAGAATTCAAGAAGTGCAGCATTAACAATTTATAGGTTTTAAATATATCAGAGACTGGGGTGGATTACAGCATGATGGAAAAATAAAACAGTATCTCTCTGTTAGAAGGTTAATGCTGCAGGGTAAACTGATCTCGGATCACTACACAAAATTATCCTCTTCATTGCAGAGAGGGAGGGAAGGAGTAGGAAACAGGGAGAGCAATTTTTTGAGGTACACATTAGGAAATGATGCAGTATACTTTGCCCAGTGGGGAGCACCAGTATTTAAAAACCAGTTCTATCTAAGAAAATAATAACAGAACCTAACAGCTATCACAAATGCAAATAAAAATCTGCACGACACTGTTTACGCTACAGGAGAAATTAATAAAGCAATTCACAATGCTCTGGTAGCCATAACTAAGTTTAACAACCTCTAGTCTTGTTCTCCGATTTAGATTTCTTCAGTAAAAAGTTAAATTTAAAAATGCCTTTCCAACAAAGTTGAAGATACTATCTTTTTGCAACAAGTCTCCTTAAAACTACCCAAACTACTGAAGTGAGCAAGGATTAACAGAATCCGGACAGGTTTCAGCAGTAATCTACCACTACTTGTAAACATGAGAAATACTTTACGACCACTGAGACTGGCGACAATTAGTTTCAAAGCACCTTAACACAAATGTTGCAACAGACAACCCAAAAGCGTAGAACTGCTAAACATTAATGAAGCTGATCATTTTATCCCCTTAAACAATTGTACGGAGTTCTTGAGAACAGAAGCAGCACAAACATACACCGCATTGCCCCCAGTTATTTTCATAAGGTTCACATATTTTTTCCCCAACAATTTTCCAAAGCTACAAGTTTTCTGTGTATGTGGAAAATCCTTGTAACTTTCTCTTGCATAGTCACCCCTTGAACAGATGTAAATCGCTTTCACTCTGCATTAGAACTCAATGCCTGCAGTCTGCTGCATCAAGAAACAATTATTTCAGCTTAAAAGTAGTCCTACACAACTCAATTTTACAAGGCATGTACCACATCCCAAGTTATCTCTGCGTTGTTCAGTCATTCTGTGCACAGAAACCGTTCCATTCCTTTGGGCATTCTTGTTGCCCTTCCTAATTCTTCCTTCCACAATTTAACAAATTCAATCAAATATTTTGAAGACATATACAGGAACCATATACAACACTCAAGGCGGAGCAGTACTGAACTCTGAGCTGATATTTTCATGGAATCAGTACTATAAACTCCTAAGCGTTAATGGCCATTTCAAAGCATGTTACTTTCTACGTGAAGTTTCATGAAATTTTCCTTGTGTGTGCATGACTTTACATTTATTTAGATGGAATTTCACCAACCAAGCTTCTGTCTTTTTAAGATCTTTCACAATGTTTTGTCTTTCTCTGTCCTCACTACCTTGGAAAGCTTCACCATTAGCAACCCTCCTCAACTCACTTACTTCACAAGGGTTTTCTGAAAAGCCTTTTGGTAAATATTTCAATTAAAACATCCTTATTCACATGTTTAGTGACCCCTACAAATAGGTTTGTAAAAAAGGATTTATCTTTAAAAAGGAATTATGATGACACTTTACACTTTACAGTATGAGGTGTCCACTTATACTATTCTTATTGAGGTTTCTATTACTTTGCCTGGCAAAAATATGCCACCCAAAAGCTTACATTTTCCATAATGTAATAAGAGACATCAAAGTAGGCATATGAAGAAGAAGAAAAAACCACAACAATCCTCTTTCAGTGTAACTGGAGTTCTGGTTATTTTAAAAGATCTTTTTACCCACAGCAGACAGCACAAACACCAATTTGTAAGCCTTGGACATAAATTGCACTAATCCTGTCAAGAGGTAAGCTGCTGCAAACAGAAAGGTATGTATCATTTCTAAACTTTTTGTTTAAATGAGGTGACACTACATCGCAAGAAAAGCTGCTTTTTTGTGATGTTGGGAATCCAGAATATTTTTATAAGTTTTTGCTCAGTTGCAAACTCCGATTTAAAAGTTGAGATAAACCCAGATGCTTATCTGAGATGAAGCTTTATGTGCTTGCCTAGCATTCAGGACTAAATTGCTAGTTACGCATTTTATGTAGTGATAGTGCACTCATTTACATTTGCCATTTTTAACTAATGAACTGATTTCTAAGGTTTCATTCTCTTACTGTATGCTTAGCTACTGAAGCATGCTAAGCAAGTATCATACATGCTATTCCTACTGCTCCAACAAAAATCTACACCCAAAAGCTCTGTCTTCTTATAACAACAGAATTACCTTAAATCTGAGTGAGGTTTAATATTGTGACTGGGAATTTATACCCTCAGTTCAGTTACCTCTCATCATGATGCAACTTTTAGGTTAAAGGCAGAGTTGTCTGTTAGACAAGTATTTATAAATAGAACACTGGTAAGTGGGTATAAGAGATTTAATGGAGTATCACTTAACCACTGGGCATTAAGGATTTTAGGAAAAAAAACACCAAACCAACAAC